TTGCCTGCTCTAGTGAAAGAAGATTCTCTTTTAATTGGGAGAAAGGCCTTTATCTGAGATTGTTTAGTTTTCTTGATGATTCTCTGGCCTTCAGACTCTTACTGTTTTTAGAGGTTATGATGCTAGGGGGAAGGGTAAAGGACTGTCAAATGGTCAGACTTTGTAAAGATGTTCTTTGACTTTAAGTGGGAAAGCCCTTGTGAGCTTTGCTGTAAAGCCCCTGTATTGTGCTCTCTTTCAGGTGGGATGTGTGTGGGCTGAAATTCCGAGCTGCAGTTGTGCATGAGAATACACCCTTCGTGGTACCCCAACTCCGGGACGTTCTCGGCTCTGTGCATTCAGTCCCTCAGGAACCGTGGACCTTAATTTACCTTGCTAAGTTCAGATCATCTTTTTTTCTTTTCTCCTGCCCATTTTCCTGTTCTTTCTGTCTTTCAGTACCTGTAGCTTCCATCCATGTTGTGTTCTCCCAGCAGACCTTGTATGCTGAAACTGGTGGGGCCTGTGCTGTCTCCTCCCTGCCTCTTGCCACCTGTGGGTATTGGGTTTGGGAATGACCCTGTGTGAAAGTCACTGCTCCAGCATTTCTTTTTGGCCCAAAGGCTAGACCAGTAGAGCTGGGTCACTCCTTTTCTCTCTGATGAAATAAATGTTTTTCAACTTAGGTTATGTGTGCTTTGAGCGAGTTTTTGCTTGGGCTTGTTTCTGGGGTGTTTTATTTCTACCTTAAAGACAAGGGAATTGTGCAAAATTTTTTAAAGTGTTAGATTCTTAGTTTTGGGTGAACAACGTTGCAAGATTTTTAGTTTTTGGCAGTACTGGGGTTCATACTCAAGGCTTTGTTCTTAGGCCTTGCTCTACCATTTAAACTCTTTCCCAGCCCTTTTCCTTTATTTTTTGAATAGGCTAGCCTGCTTTGCCATCCTCTATTTACTTTTCCCACTTAGCTAGGATTAGGTGGATACCACCATGTCCAGTATTTGCTTTCCCTTATTGATTGAGAGATGAGGATCTTGTAAATTTTTTGCCTGGGCTGGCTCTGAACAGTGATCTTCCCAGTCTCAGCTTCCTGATTCTTAGGATTTCAGGTATGAGCTTTTGCTTAATTTGCCTTTTCTCCTCTCCCCCCCTTTTTATTTTTCTCTTTTTCTTTGCTTTGTAGCTAGGGCTTGCAGGTACCAATGGAACAAGAGATTACAGGAAAGAACTCAGGCAGGTGCCTTATTCCGGTGAAGACTCTCTCCTAGTGGTTTCGTACAGTGGTTCAGCTGCTTATTAGTGTAGAGATGTAAATCTTTCCCTGTTAGAGAAGTAATCCCCTCCAACTACTATTCCAACCATATCTTTGGAAAAATGAACCATGCTCCCAGCAAAGAACATTTTACTACTTCCATACACATTTGTGATACCTTTTACCGCTTATCTTTTACTATTTATACCACTCTACCAAGTCTAGATAATACTTGGATGGTTCCAGTAGCATCTCAGTTTATACTTAAGAGCCTTTAGGTGATAAGTATAAAGAACATATTACTGTAAGCTTATTGAAAAGTAAGTATGGAGCTAAGTGCAGGGAAGAGCCAATGAATTACCTCTATATTTGGTTTTGGTTTTTGAGATGATGTCATTTTGTAGTACAGGCTGGGTTGAAACTTGAGATCCTCTAGCCTCCATTGCTTAAATGCTGAGGTTTTAGACATCCACTATGGTTCCTGCCACTGTTTTTTTCTGTTTTTGTACTTTGAGACAGGTCTCACTCAGTTGGCCTGGAACTTTCTAGGTATCCCAAACTCATCTCCTGCCTCAACCTCCCAAGTGCTGTTGAGTATAAGTATGCCCCACTTACGCATGTCTAGGTAGTTTTTGTTGTTTGTTTATTTTCTCCTCTGAAGGCTAGCCACAGCTCCAGCTCCACAGGTGGGTTTTTTGTTGTTGTTGTTTTGGTGGTTACTTGGAGATAGGAGTCTCATGGATTTTCCTGCCTGGGCTGGCTTGGAATTGCAGTTGTCAGACCTCAGCCTCTTCAGTAGCTAGGGCTACAGGCGTGACCTACCAGCGCCTGCCTTCTTTATGTTTTACCTCCTTGCACTAGTCTCAACATATATAGGGTCACATCTCAGCATCATCCACTCAGCAAATGCTACTGTACTTAGACATGTCGTTGGGAAATGTTTCTGAGAAGAGAAGTGGAAGGAACTGCTCTTGGGTGATTTTTCTGTACAAGTAAAACGTAATTTATTAAATATTTTCTATGATGAGGTCCTGTGCTAGATGTCTTACGTGTTTTCTTATCAGTTACTTTTTTTCCTGCTAGGGTCTCTTGGGGGAAAAAAAAAGTTGTACCTCTGGTCTGTAAAGGACAGATCCATCACTGATCTGCACTTACACCTTTGTCATTATGTACTCTGCCCCTTGGTGTGATGAGTGAGGTTGCTAAGTTTCATAAGATTGAGACTTAACAGTATTTGTTTATTAAAGTGTCACTTTCATTTGGCAATATGCAGTTTTAGAGCTTATATTCTGGGGAATGGGAATGATAAAGTATGTGTTAAGTAGCAAATCCTGCCTAAATAGGATAGTCTGAAAATTGCTTCTGAGTGTGTATGTGTATTAGGATTTTAACTCCGGACCTTGGGCTCTTGTCACTTGAACTGTACCCCAGCTCTGCTTTGGTTATCTGCTTTGGCTTTTTTTGAGAAATAGTCTGGCTTTTATACCTAGTCTAGCCTGGACCATAATCCTGCTTACTGCTTATTTGGGTTGATAGGCATATACTACTTTGTCCAGCTATTGATTGATGGGGTCTCTAGCACTTTTTGCCTGACTGGCCTTGAACCACAATAATAATTAAGATTATAAGATTGTAAGTGTAAGCCACCACTTGTGTAGGTTTTTTATTTATTTATTTATTTATTTTTTTTGTCGGTTGTGGGGCTTGAACTCTGGGCCTGGGCGCTGTCCCTCAGCTCTTCAGCTCAAGGCGAGCGCTCTACCACTTGAGCTACAAGGCCACTTCCGGTTTTCTGGTGGTTTATTGGAGATAGGAGTCTCACGGTCTCTCCTGCCTGGGCTGGCTTTGAACCGTGATCCTCAGATCTCAGCCTCCTGAGTAGCTAGGATTACAGGCGTGAGCCACCAGCGCCCGGCTTGCCTTCTTTTTTTTTTTTTTTTTTTGGGTCCGGTCATGGGGCCTGAATTCTGGGCTTGAGCACTGTCCCTCAGCTCTTCAGCTCAAGGCTAGTGCTCTACCACTTGAGCCACAGCGCCACTTCTGGCTTTTTTTTTCTTTTTGCTTATGTGGTGCTGAGGAATCGAACTCAGGGCCTCGAGCATGTAAGGCAAGCGCTCTACCACTGAGCCACCTTCCCAGCCCTCCGCTTCTGATTTATTGGAGATGAGAATCTCTTAGATTTGTTTGTCATGGTTGGCTTTAGGCTGATTCTCTGATCTCAGCCTTCAAGTAGCTTGGATTACAGACCTGAGTCACCAGTTTCTGGCATCTTTTCATTTCTTAACTTACACAACAGAGAGCTTGGATCTTGGCACCTGTATTCCTTCTTAAAAGTAGCTACAGGTCCAAAATGTGGTTATATGCAAAGCCTTACTAGCTTTCTATCATTGTTCTTCAGATTTTGCTTGTATCATTTTGGTTCATAAAGTTTTCTCCTATGTAGTAGTAGTTAGGTAGAGCTTTTTGTTGGTCATGGGGCTTGAACTCTGGGCCTGGGCGCTGTCCTTCAGCTCTTCAGCTCAAGACGAGTGCTCTACCACTTGAGCTACAGCGCCACTTCCGGTTTTCTGGTGGTTTATTGGAGCTAGGAGTCTCATGGTCTCTCCTGCCTGGGCTGGCTTTGAACCGCGATCCTCAGATCTCAACCTCCTGAGTAGCTAGGATTACAGGCGTGAGCCACCAGCGCCCGGTTTTAGGTAGAGCTTTGACACTCAGATGGTCTCCCACACTCATTGAGGTCTTGAATGAATTAGCTTGCTAACTGCAGTTCCAGCTTCTTGCATTGTAGCTGAGCAACCAGGTCTTGTTTGTAAACAGTTTGCTTAATGAACAGAAGCTTAAGAGTAAAGAGTTGATGAAGGATGTAATATGGCTTGAGACACAGGGCTTATTTTCCATTCCTGTACCTCGTTGACACCACGTATACATAGAATCTAGCATTTCACCTAAACTTACAGGTTTTAGTTGTACTACAGTCTTGCTTTATACATGGGCTTCTCAGTGATGAAGCAAAGGGATGTAGAATAGGCCCTCTGGTTCCTACATTAATGTAGTGATTTTTGGAGCAAAGCTGCATAAAAACTCGTGTGTTTGCTAACCTGTAGAGTGAGGATGATGATCATTTGTCCTGCGACCTTATTATAAGGTCCAAAAGGTTCTGTGCATGGAAGTGCTTTGGAAAAAGAAAAAAAAAAGGGAAGTAATGTGAAAAAGGGGAAGAGGAATTTGGTGAACTGTCCACTCATTTGCTCACTGTAGACTGGCTCTTGCCTAGGCTGAGAGGTGGATCATTGTGAATGGTCATTTCCAGTGAGTGGTCATTTTCAATGTTTGAATGTGAGTGATCATTTCTAGTGTTTTAAGTCTCAAAATGAGTAGTTATTTGGTGAGCTTGGGTTCAGAACACTGAATAATTGAGTGGTTCAGGAATGCTTTCTGCATATGGTTTGCTGGTTTATGCTTACAGGAGCTGAGAAGATTTTTATGCTGTGTTGCAGTTCATCTTTGCTCTTCTCTCACAAGGATGTTGGATGAGGTGGTAGGGGAAAGGGAAGAATGGGGAAAAGGCCATAGTTGAAGGTGACTGTTTGGGATTTTCAGTAGCTCTGTTTTATGGGAGCTACATTTTATAACATACTCCTGGAGAGGAGGGTTTGGAGGCTGGAAGTAGCTGGCAACAGCTGGGTGCTGTTGTGTGTCCAGTTTGGGACCCATCAGGTAGCATGCCCTGCCCCCCTAATTGCTAACCCTCTGTCTGCTGCTTTATCAGACTACGCGTTTGTTCACATGGAGAAGGAAGCAGATGCCAAAGCCGCCATCGCGCAGCTCAACGGCAAAGAAGTGAAGGGCAAGCGCATCAACGTGGAACTCTCAACCAAGGGTCAGAAGAAGGGGCCTGGCCTGGCTGTCCAGACTGGGGACAAGACCAAGAAACCAGGGGCTGGGGATACGGCATTCCCTGGAACTGGTGGCTTCTCTGCCACCTTCGACTACCAGCAGGCTTTTGGCAACAGCACGGGTGGATTTGATGGGCAAGCCCGTCAACCCACACCACCTTTCTTTGGTCGCGACCGCAGCCCCCTGCGCCGTTCACCTCCCCGAGCCTCTTATGTGGCTCCTTTGACCGCCCAGCCAGCCACCTACCGGGCCCAACCCTCAGTGTCGCTGGGAGCTGCTTATAGGGCCCAGCCTTCTGCCTCTTTGGGTGTTGGTTATCGGACTCAGCCCATGACAGCCCAGGCAGCCTCTTACCGCGCTCAGCCCTCTGTCTCCCTTGGGGCCCCATACAGGGGCCAGCTGGCTAGCCCCAGTTCCCAGTCTGCCGCAGCTTCCTCACTTGGCCCGTATGGTGGAGCCCAGCCCTCTGCCTCTGCCCTTTCCTCCTATGGGGGGCAGGCGGCTGCAGCTTCTTCACTCAACTCCTACGGGGCTCAGGGCTCCTCCCTTGCCTCCTATGGTAACCAGCCATCCTCTTACGGCGCCCAAGCTGCCTCTTCCTATGGGGTTCGTGCGGCTGCTTCCTCCTACAACACCCAGGGAGCAGCTTCTTCCCTCGGCTCCTATGGGGCTCAGGCAGCCTCCTACGGGGCCCAGTCTGCAGCCTCCTCACTAGCTTATGGAGCCCAGGCAGCTTCTTACAATGCCCAGCCCTCGGCCTCGTACAATGCCCAGTCTGCCCCATATGCTGCACAGCAGGCTGCTTCCTACTCTTCTCAGCCTGCTGCTTATGTGGCACAGCCAGCCACAGCTGCAGCCTATGCCAGCCAGCCAGCTGCCTATGCTGCACAAGCCACTACCCCAATGGCTGGCTCATATGGGGCCCAGCCGGTGGTTCAGACCCAGCTGAATAGTTACGGGGCTCAAGCATCTATGGGCCTGTCAGGCTCCTATGGGGCTCAGTCGGCTGCTGCAGCCACTGGCTCCTATGGCGCCGCAGCTGCCTATGGGGCCCAGCCTTCTGCCACCTTGGCAGCTCCTTACCGCACTCAGTCGTCAGCCTCACTGGCTGCTTCCTATGCTGCGCAGCAGCATCCCCAGGCTGCTGCCTCCTACCGTGGCCAGCCTGGCAGTGCCTACGATGGGGCAGGTCAGCCGTCTGCAGCCTACCTGTCCATGTCCCAGGGGGCCGTTGCCAACGCCAACAGCACCCCGCCGCCCTATGAGCGTACCCGCCTCTCCCCACCCCGGGCCAGCTACGACGATCCCTACAAAAAGGCTGTCGCCATGTCGAAAAGGTACTGTATGCCCCCCCGCCTTTGCCCCCAGCTGGGGCATAGGGCAAGGGGCTGAGGTTGGCATGGGAGGGAAACTGGCGCCATTGGCCCCTCCCTTGGTGGTTTGTCCAGAAGCCAAGGGGTTTGGTGTCTGTGAACTTTCCTGGCCACTAGGGTGCAGGTTGGAGCATAGTGCTCAGCCTGGGGTGGTACCAGCTAAGCTAGTCAGCCCTTTCAAGAAAGGCATCACCAGTCTAGACTAGCTCAAGTGCCATTGGAGTCACTCTTGTGGCTTTTCCTACTGTCTGAAGGATCCATAAGCCTTTTATCTGGTTGTCCTGACATGGTGGGCTGGGTGTGAAGGAATAGTCCCTTTTGGAACTCACTGGCTGAAGGCAAGTTCATGAGATGCGTCCACTCTGAGAATTTGGAGACCTTGCTTTTGTTCGCCGTTCTGTTGATAAACAATCAAGGCCTTTCTGTTTAGGGCCCAAGGGTGGGGTAGTTTGTGGTTTGGGAATGGAGGCCAAAAATGTACTATGGCCAGTTTGGAAGGGGAGGGCTTCAGTGGAGGACTTGGTTTCCCAGTGACTTGAATCCAGGCTTGATTTTTGTGGCCTGGGTAGGATGATGAGCCTTCTGACCAAAGGAAACAAAACTGTTGGAGACCAATCTGATCACACCCTCCCTGTCCCCATTGGTTGGCATCTCCCCCATGCCTGGAGCCCTCCCCTCGACTGTCTCATTCACCAACTGTCTTCTTCTCTCGACTAGGTATGGTTCCGACCGGCGTTTAGCCGAGCTCTCTGATTACCGCCGTTTATCAGAGTCGCAGCTTTCGTTCCGCCGCTCGCCGACAAAGTCCTCGCTGGATTACCGTCGCCTGCCCGATGCCCATTCCGATTACGCACGCTATTCGGGCTCCTATAATGATTACCTGCGGGCAGCTCAGATGCACTCTGGCTACCAGCGCCGCATGTAGGGCCATCCTGGGGATGGGGCACCACAGGGAGGGAGGGAGAGGAGAGATAGGTAGGGTGCAGACCCAGGTTTTAACCACTCTGGCCCATACCTCTCCTGGTTGCAATTTTTTATCCCCTCCCTCTATTATGTGGACCTTCCCCAGGAGATGATCCTTTTACATATTTGGCAGTAATCTACTTTGTTCCTTTGCCTCAGCAGCACATCTTGCTAGTGGCTATAGACCTGCGGTTTCCCCTCTACCCTGCATCCCATCTCCCCGGAATGGGAGTCTGTCTCATATGTTTTTATTTTTTCCTGGCTCCCTTTTATTTTTATGCGCGGTATTTAAGGTCGTCTGGATGGGGAAGCAACCTGCAGCTGAGGTTGGCGGCGCCTTTTTCTTTCAGATATGAGGGAGGCCAAGAGTGGGTTAATTCAACCATTTCCTATGCGCCAAGCTGTGCCAGCAGTCCTGGGGACCTTGACTGCTCCTGTGCCCCTCTGTAGACTGTTGGAGACTGAGATTCTATTGGGACAGTCAGTTGGCATGTGTCCAAATTCCTGCTCACCACTGATGTTCTAGCTTGTGGTGTGTGATACAGTCCCAATTCCCCATCTCCCCAAGTAGGTGGTGTTAGAAAACCTTAATTTTTTTTCTCTTTTGTATGGACTACAAATAAAACTTGGGGCGATTTGCAGTTTGGAAACCTGGTTGTCATTGTCTTGATTGCACTCAGTGTCAGATGAGCCAGTTTGACATCCAGGAAACATGACAGCTTAAAAGGAAGCGGGCCTGAGAACCCAGGGTCGGTGTGGAAAGGGGTCTGCATGTGGGAATTAGAATGATTTCCCTGCTTGCTGTCCAGTGGGGTGTAGCTCCATTGGTGGGCTGTCAGCATGCCATCTTTAGGATTGTAGAGTCCAGACCAAATGAATGGTTGGACTTTCTGAGCCTCGAATTGATCACACCAAAATGCAGTAAATATTACCTGTTTTCTTTTGCTTATGTTTGACTGTTTTCCCTCACTTTTCCCCAGTTTAGGAAAAAAACCCAGTGCTCCAGCAAGGAGGTTCTGGCTGGGGTTTGACTTTTCTGAAGAATGGGGAGTGGACTGTTACTTGTGTGTATTCTAGTAGGTCTTTCAGAAAGTGGGTTCAAATGAGTTCTGGGGCCGGGACCCTGAAGGGAGCCATATTGGGGTACGGGTGATGTCACTGATACTGCCCTGCGGTTGGAGAAGGGAAGGACAAAGAAAAGTTGAATTTGGTATGGGGCATTCTGGCCTTAGTCCTGGTACTTCGCCTACTCTGAACTTCACCATGGAGCGTCCTTCCTGCGTTCTGCCATACAGCACCTGAGATTCCTTTCCCTATCCCCATCTGTATGATTTTCAGATGTTTTCTTGGCTGGGTTTGTATTCAAAGGTATCATGAAAGACTATGGGAAAAGGGTGGAGTGCAAACATAATCATGTAGAAATTCTGGCAATGGGTAGGAAGTAATTCTGTATATACTAGAGCTGGGGAGAGTGATGATATGGCAAGAACTAGGGCAGTTCCTGCCAAGGATAACATGAAGGTTTGGACTTGATGGGGAAAGACTGGTTGAGTAGAGTGATAACAGGAAAATCTATTGATGCTGCTTAGGGAGAGTGTCTTAGAGACTGGTTTGAGACAAGGTGACTTAGGGGATGTGTGGACATTTCAGTCAAGAGTCCAGGTGGGTTGTCTGTCTTTATTGGTGTCCTGTGAACTTAACCCATGACAGAGTAGTTCGACCCGATGCCCTTCCTCCTCCCTCTGCCCCTCACTTAAAAGCATGGCCTTCCAACCATGAGTTCTTATTTGTGGATGCTAAATGGGGTAATCTCAGGGAGTACTGGGGCCATTGCTCTGCTTTTTCTGCTCATTGCTTTGCCTTCAAGATGCTTTGCGGTTCCTTTTCATTTCTTTGCAGGACTAGAGAAGAATGGGAAGAAGAGTGATGTTTCTTGTTAACTTTCTGTATGATGGTAGATTGATTTGAGGACTAAGCTAACAAGCTAAGCTTTGATTATTATCCCAGAAAATTGAGGGTTGATTCTAGGGCTGTGGTCATGGTCTCTATCTGCAACATTTCTTTGTCAGTGTGACTTTGTCATTTTCCTTTCCCTTAAGGATTCTGCCACTGTCCCAGTTCCATGGTTCATGCTAAAAACAGCTTAATGAGCTCTTGGAGCAAGTGTTCTTTATTGTAGCCCCAAACTCTTCAGGGTGACCCTGGCTTATTTGGTTACTAGTAACTATCATCTTTGTGTCCTGATGGCATTACTAACTTAATCCTCAGGCTTCTCCAGGCTAGAAAAAGCTAGAGATAAATCATTTGTCACTTTTCCTTTCTTTGTAGACTGTTTTTAAGTGTCTTTTTTTAGTTTAAATTATGCTAGCTGTGTTAATCCTATGATCCACTCATACTTTGCTTTTTTTGTAGGCTGGGATTTTCAAGGTCCTTTAACTGGGCAAAGCTGCTTTAGTGAATGGGAGGACAGACAATGTATTTGGGGGGTGGTGGAATGAGTTCTTAGTATACCTTCAGATCACTCAAGTTTTACACCTATCAACACCTACACTTGGCAGTCCATTCACTGGAGAGGTTTTTATTGGTTTATTCCTGGAATAAGACCACATTGAGACTTCCAGCCTTGTCATCTTGCTTTCTTCTGAGCTTTGGATCTTGTTTTAAATTCTGTGGGGTAGACCTGGAACCCCATCTCTTGCAATGCAGATAATGGGACAATCATTGAGGACCAGAATTTACAGGTATGCTACCTTTCTACTTTAAAAATGTCTAGTTAAGGTGTACCAAAGTCCATGCACAGTCTTTTGATTACCAGGCATTTTGTTCTGTTATGCCAATCAGTGGACTGTTGTCACAGATAGATGAAGTGAGACAGAAAATAGACTTATTAGAGTTACGGACTGCCACGCTGCATATGTAATAGGACTTTGGGTAAGAGAGAAGCTAAGGACAGACAGCATATGTTAGTGCTTTATTTATCTAAATTCTATAGCTATCCTTAAAAAAGAGCCCGGTGCTGGTGGCTCATGCCTATAATCCTAGCTACTCTGGAGGCTGACATCTGTGGACTGCGTTTCACACCCAGCCTGGGCAGGAAAGTCTGTGAGATTTTTTTTTTTTTTTTAATTTGGGGTCGGTCGTGGGGCTTGAATTTGGGCCTGGACGCTGTCTCTGTGCTCTTCAGCTCAAGGCCAGCGCTCTACCATTTGAGCCACAGCACCACTTCTGGTTTTCTAGTGGTTTATTGGAGATAAGGAGTCTTAATTCCTGCCTGGGCTGGTTTTGAACTGTGATCCTCAGATCTCAGCCTCCTGAGTAGTTAGAATTATAGGGGTGAGCCACAGGTGCCCAGCTATGAGATTCTTATCTCCAATAAACCACCAGGAAACCCAAGTGGTGCTGTGGCTCAAGTGGTAGAGCACTTGCCTTGAGCTGAAGACTCAGGGATGGTGCCTAGGCCCAGAATTCAAGCCCCACGACTGACCCAAAAAAAAAGGTGAGTTAAAAAGTTATAGTCAAGAGCCAGGTGCCATTTGCTCATTCCTGTAATCCTAGGTGCTCAGGAGACTGAGATCTGAGGATCCTGGTTTGAAGCCAGCAAGGGCAGAAAAGTCAGCCATCTCCAATTAACTAGCAAAAGGCTAGAAATGGAGCTGTGGGTCAAGTGGTAGAGAAAAAGCTCATGGAACAATGCCCAAGCTCTGAGTTCAAGCCCCAAGACCAGCACCAAAAAAACCAGACAACAAAATAAAACAAGTCAAGAGTCTAGAACAGAGCAGGGTGTTGGTGGTTTGTTTTTTATTTATTTTTTTTGGGTCCGGTCGTGGGACCTGAATTCCGGGCCTGGGTGCTGTCCCTCAGCTCTTCAGCTCAAGGCTAGCACTCTACCACTTGAGCCAAAGCTCCACTTCCGGCTTTTTTCTTTTTGCTTATGTGATACTGAGGAATCGAACCCAGGGCCTCATGCATGCAAGGCAAGCGCTTTACCACTGAGCTGTCTTCTCAGCCCCAGGGTTGGTGGTTTATGCCTATAATCTTAACTAAGGAGATCAAAAATCTGAGGATTGAGGTTCAAAGCCAGTCCATGAGATTCTGTTATCTCTAGATAGCAGCAATGTTGAGCTGAGCCCAAAAGGCCAAGCAGGAGTGCTTAGCCCTGAGTTCAAGCCTTCCCCCCAAAAAACAAAACAGTATTCCAGAATTCAGAAAAAGATTCATATCCCTACCCTACCCGTTGTAGGGGCTTGGGCTTGAACTCTGGGTCTGGGCTCTGTCCTCAGCTCTTCAGCTCAAGGCTAGCACTCTATCACTTGAACCACAGCACCACTTCCACCTTTTTCTGCTTATGTGGTACTAAGAATTGAACCCAGGCCATTGTGCATTGAAGGCAAGCACTCTACCACTGAGCCATTCTCCCAGCTCCCAGAAAAGGATCCTTTTTTTTGGGGGGGGGTCCAGTCGTGGGGCCTGAACTCTGGGCCTGGGCGCTGTCCCTCAGCTCTTCAGCTCAAGGCTAGTGCTCTACCACTTGAGCCACAGCGCCACTTCCGGCTTTTTTCTTTTTGCTTATATGGTGCTGAGGAATCGAACCCAGGGCCTCGAGCATGCAAGGCAAGCACTCTACCACTGAGCCACCTTCCCAGCCCTTGCCTTCCTTTTTTAAATGGTGAGTTGAAAAATTATTTTGTCAACAACGGAATTGGGACAAAGAATGCTAGTATAATACTTAATTTTTGGGTACTTTGAGCATTTTAATCCAGTCCTAGAATGAGGTAATGTGTTCACATATTTTAACTCCAGTTAGCTCCGATGCTAATCTAGGTTGTTATTTTACACTATTGGCTTTAGTATTTACTTCCCTCCCCTCCCAAATAATACATTAAGATGGAATCCAGTGCCCCAGGTGTGCTAGTGGCACTTCTGCATTCCATTCCCCCAGGCCTTTTCCTTCTTCCTTAGAGGAAGGGGAAAAGGAATTTTTCTCCAATGTTGCTTAAACTGGTCTCATATTCCTAGACTCTACATCCTGCCTCAATCTCCCAAGTACTAGTGATTAAAGATAAGTGCCCTTGTGCCCAGCATGACTTTTGTGTGTGTGTGTGTGTGTGTGTGATGGGGCTTGAACTCTGGGCCTGAGGGCTGTCCCTCAGCTCTTCAGCTCAAGGCTAGCACTTGAGCCACAGCACTACTTCCGGTTTTCTGGTGGTTTATTGGAGATGAGAGTTTCATGGAGTTTCCTGCCTGGGCTGGCTTTGAACCTCGATCCTCATCAGATCTCAGCCTGAGTAGCTAGGATTATAGGCGTGAGCCACCGGTGCCTGGCCCAATATGGCCTTTTGACTTCATAATTCTGTTTTGTAGTGAAGTTTTATATACATGTTTTATGTAATAATATTAGTAATAGTAATAGCTGTATTTATTAGACTGGTCTTTTTCCCTGTTTTCTTAGTGTTGTATATATTCTCTTCATTGTTTGCACATATAATTTAGATGTTTTTAATGATTTAACTTCTCCCCGAGAGAGGCGCTCCCACTCCCGCTCTTCAGGCCTGTGCTGGAAATGGTGGAAGAGAGGGAGACATAGTTGGTGATTTCTGATTGTTCTTAT